ACAGGATTACCATCATCAAAATAACATCGTTATGTTATAGAGGGCAGTACATAACAAGAATGACGCGTCCATTATTTTCCCATGTATACATATTTTATTATAAACAGGTGTAATACTGCAATATACCACTACTAATGACAATAAGTATGGAAATTAAATGTAATGTCTTTGCTATTTTACGTGCAAAGTAATACTATACGTACTAACATATTGTATACATTTTCTCTGTCTCATTTTAATTACTAACTTTTCCATACTATAATGTAGAGACTCGATTTTCTAACCCTAACCCTAAGAAAGTTCCTTGACTTAATATTTCTTTTCAAATGTTTAAATGACTATATTACTTGTAACTAAATTTCTTTATTAGTTTTAAGTTATTTAAAACTAATGAAATTAGATTACTAATAAAATTAGATTTTCGATGTTTCCTTTTCTAAAGTTAATTTGCAAAAATGAATTTGTTAATCGTATTTCATCACTTTATTATTATTTTGTTAATGCTCGAGCAAAAGTGAGGTAATTCATTTACAGTTCTTAAGTGGCTTGCCATCGGTTACATTTCAGAGTAATTTATTCCATTTTTATTTCAAAATTTATATGCCATCGTTTTAATTATCCCGTTTTTGTATTCTCTTTTGGAATAGTTAGTGTGCTGCGAAAATTTCTTTTCCATGTTTTCGGTTCTGTATGTTTATTTTTATGCAATCCTGTAAGTGGTTATTCTTACTTTCGCTGTTGGTATATATTTTATAATTAATTAATTAAATACTCGCATATTTTACTTGTAAATTTAATAAAGGGGACACTGGATAGTGATTTTGCAATCAAAATATTTCTTGAAGGCATGGCGAGTATCAATAACAAATTTATGAAGCTTGTGATACACCATAAATTTGATTTTGCAATTATTTGGAATTTTTTGTACATATTGATTCCTTTCGCGGTTTAATGTTAGGCCTGCCTACTCAATAGTATTGTATTACCGCTCAGATTTTAAAAGTTCTTTTCACTTTTGATAGTTTCTCGTTAAACAGTCATTGTATGACAATTAGTATGACATGCAGTTTAATTTGGACGATTTCTTATTACACACAACCATGCAAAATAGTAATTTACTCAGGTGCTGAGTGTACTTGAGATTACATGCTGTTTTCTGTACTTTATCTTGTGTTCTTGTTAAATTAAAGACCAAATTTCCATGTTTTCAAAATAAAATCTTGAAAAAAATTGAATTCTATTCTGTTTCTTTTACTCCATAGTATTTATATAAAATTACTGCAATAAAAGGTTTTCATATTACTGTCAATATTTCAATCGTAGGTTGACGTTATTTTGTAATTTAGTTCAACATGGATATGTGCGTGTAAGATGACATGACGACATTATCAACTGTTAATACTTTCATCATGGGCATCACATGCAAAATACAATGTAATTATTTTTCCAATTTGATTTTACATACTTTATTTTGTCTGACAGTATTTTTGTACATTATTTCATTCGGCATTTCAACACATAGTCCACAATTTAAAATACATTAATTAATCAACTTAAATGCATTAACATGCAAGACAGAACAAATCACATGCAAGCACCGTGTTAGGATCCAATATTTTGACGTGTCATGATGGCGTGCATTTCATTGCTTGGTAGTGTGTATTATACTATCTTACTAGCTTGAAGTTGATTAGTGGAGCTTTCGGCATTAATGAAGAAAGAACTAATAAAAAATCAATATTTTTTTTGTACCCAACTTACGTACTTTTATTAAATTACATAAAAGAATAATTATACCATTGTCACCATTATCATTACTACTATTATTGTTATTATTGTTGTTGTGTTGATGTCGTCTTTATATATTGTCTTGATTAAATTCTTATATAATTTATATTCGTTTCATACTGTGTATTTAAGAATTGTAGCTATGCGGTGACAATCTTGATTAGCCTCGGCTATTTCTTTCTGACCAGTTGTACATTCTTTGAGGATACCATAAACGGAGAACAGATAATACATTAGTTTAAGGTAAATAGGACCATATTATGTTACTTGCTTGTAATGTATACCAGAAAAAATAGAAAATAAAATCAGTGTATAATCTTAATTCTTCAATAAATATTTAATCATTTTGACTTCTTCACAACTTTGTAATGTATACTTTTTTTGCCCATGATATCAAAAGAATTTTGATGCTACAGTACAAGTATAAAAGGTATAT